CAAAAATTTTCACTGAATATTCATTGACTGTTGATGCCAACGATTAATAGGGAATCTACGAAGAAGACCTGTATCGAATTGAAGTTTTCAAAAAGTCCAGAAAATCGATCCTATCTCATTGAAAATCACAAAAAATTGTATCATTTCATTTCACTGTGATAGTTTTGATTTTCATAAGTGAGCAGATAAACTGGCTAGGTTTATATTTTTGGCTAGAAACTGCTGAAAGCGATCAGACCGAACTCACGAACTCATCCATCACTTCAGCTAGCGGATTTTCTCCCAGAACAAACGGTTCATCTCAGAGGAATATATTTTGGACGGGCAAATGTTCTGGATCAAGCTTCTGTTCAGTTCGAAACCAGCACTTTTTAAATACTTCATTGCGGAGAGTACAATATGCTGTGATTATTTCGATCGTTCTCTCTTTCGAATGATTAATATTCATGAATAAAATTATTTTGTTTATGAGATTTATTTCAGAATTTCACATAATTTTTATCGTCATCATTCACTGCATCTCATTCATTCGATTTCAGTTATATTCCCCTATTCAAAGTCATCATGTCTTTCTCCCGTTTTGATCACGCCAAGTGAATACTTGCCCAACTACGTTCTGAAAGTAATTAGAGGTTCCATATTCATCCAAAATCCATCCCATCATAATCAAGAGATCCAAAGCAATGCGACTTATTCAATTCAAAAATCCTGCCGAATTGACCGCATCACGTACAACAACATTATTCCTCCTTCGCTCATTTTAGTGGAAGTTGTCGGTCAGTCAAATTTAACATCACTCCCATATCCACCACCACTTCACTGTAACAAATCTCCATCTCCTAACTAAATAATTTTATCAATAACGTATGTAATTCCATAAGATGTTCACATCTAACACTCAGTTCTACCTGTCAGTGATAAATTTTCGTCGATTATTCCTCCAATTCAAACGATTAGACCAAAGAGATCAAGCGCGATCAGGTGAAACAGCCCAAGTTACAATTGTCATGACAAATTCTTGTTCTGTCAGTAAAACCTTCACTGGTCTTATACGGATCAAGCTAGGAGATAATGAACTTATAATTGAATTGGGAGGCGGATGATTTAGACTATGATCTGCAATTTATTCCCGAAATGTCGCTATCAAACTTTAGAAGCTATCAACACCATCGATTTCCATGCATTAATATTCCATTCATTGGGATGTGTTTATTCGGTGTTTGTTCAGCTGCTGTTATCTATGTGCTATTCCTATGCGATCGAATGCGCGCTCAATGAAGCCTTCGAGAATGGTGTACTGAAATGATCGCATGTTCCTATCCCACAATCATATTCTGTTGTCTGACGCTTGCTTGAGCATAAAGTGGATTTACTTTTGCGCACGAAATCGTGAAGAAATCTTGAATAAAGTCGTTTTGTTTCAATCGATTTTAGAAACGATCATGTGCCAGCCACTCCAATAGGTTCGAAGTGAGATCGTATGATCGTATAGGCGCTGTTGATTAATGACGAATAAATTTTCAGTTTCACAATATTTTTTGCTATTAGTTGATTAATTTTTTTCGCACAAAATGGTCGTCAACAACAAGAACGCTCTGTCGGCAGTGATGGAGAATTCGATGAACACATTCGATAGATACAAAGTAAAGACTTTTCATATCAATGACCCTTCCTATTCGGAGATTCCTCTGACAATTCATCCAACGAAACGAATTGTAACATTCCAGTAACATCATCTAAACGTTTATTCAGATTAATGATACTAAACCTTGAGAATGTTCGTGCATCCGGAAGCCCTTTGAGAAATACGCTTTGCGTAAGTGAACTGCATTGAGCTGAAACTGAAGTTCAGTCACCAAATGGAAGTTCGCAAGAACTCCATTCAAGAGAATCTAATCCAAACAGTTTCAGTTAGTGGGATGGTTTGTGCTTATTTGTAATCTAGCCATATTGGCGTTAATCGTCTATATTGATCATGGTTTCGTTCGATTCGCTACCAATTATTCACTAATTTCGCTGTTGAGTTTGATCGCAATTATCTGCACGATATTTGCATTGAAAGATCAAAATGCCGCCATGCTTTACCCAATGCTTGTGTCTCTAGTAAGTTTCATTTTACATCTCACAAATATTCACTTATGAACTGCTTGACTAGAAGTAGAAACATGCAGACAATATTTAGTTCAGTGATATACCAAAGTCCATGGAGATTGCTCTCTGACCTGAGGCTGGAAGATCTATCTCAAAGAGCAATATCATTGTACCCAGATATTCTCATGATATAGCGAATCCTTTTATTTTTTTCATTTGCTGAGACACAATTGCATTTGACATCGAAATTCTATGTGAATAACACTAGTGAGTTTCATACGGGAACAATATGACCGAGAGCCGAACGTAATGTAGTTTCACGTCTTCTTACTAAAATTTCAGGTGTTTTTCATCATAATACCGTTTTCGTTATGGCTGATTGCGACTTTGAGTGCAATCTATTGCACATTTAACTCGCATTCTCACCATAGCAAGGATCCGGATGAAGCATACCTTTTAGGCGAGTCATTAATTCGGTATTATTTCAGTCTTCAATTCCGCCCAACATTTTTTTATTTCCAGTGATAACAGTAACTAGTCATAAAAATTGAAGAATATTTGAGGAATAGCCATAATATTTCTTGTCGTTTCGATTTGAGAATTACAGTGACAATCCACGACATTATTCATGTCCTTTCCTCACCATTCCGTAAAGAGCAGCTTTCTACGTTTGACCAACAAAGTTACAGAATGCACTGAACAGGATCGCGTGCCACTTCCTCTGAATCTACTCTTATTGGGTTTGGCTATCGAGAAGACGTTTGAATTCGTTTTATTCCGTCGTTTGATGAAAATGTTCGAGCAGCAAAATTACATCGATCAATTTTCGCAGACCATCAACAAAGCCACCTTGAATTCGGCTAATGATACAGATGACGAGGTATCGACAGTTTTTGATAGCTTTTTCGGGAACTGCAATTGCTCAGATTGCAATCATCGGAAGCAACAATTTTTTGGAGAGTTTTCTGTATACAGCACAGATGTTTCAGACATTTTATCTACGAATCCTCAGTTTTTATGAATGATTCCAAATATTTTCCCATCGATTGAAAAGTGGAATGTGTGGTGACATAAAGCGATTTTGTGAAGATAAGGTACAGATGTTTAGGTGCAATTCCAAATTTCATAACAACTAGGAATGTTTCGGAATGTATGAATGAGTGAATTCAGTTAATGAATCAGTGGGTTTTCTGGTCGATTACACTCAATTACTAAAGAATCCGTTAGCTGAAGCTGTGACAAATAGTGCTTGATTGCAGATAGTAGTTTTCGAGAAGGTTGCAAAGAACGGTGGTCAGTCGGCGATATATGATTACGGTACACAACGACCGTCAGCATGAGAATGGAGTTCAGTACGACGGATTAATCGAATGATTACTTAAATTCTCGTTTATTTCGTTTCATTTCTGATTGTGTCTCAACGTACATACGCTTTAAATTCTGTTGATTTGTACGTTATGAAGCCAAGAACGGTTGGAGAACAAACGGAATTGTGGAAACAGAAATATATTTTGAATTTTTTTGTCGCTTCTTTCTTTCGTTCACTTGTATTATAGAACAATCTCACTAATGCGCTTTTCGGCTTCTCGGGTTCTTTTTCCTTCACTCAGGAGTGCCTTTTTTTCTTCTAAGAACCTGGAATCTTTGAATCCGATATCTTTTCGAAACCAAAATTTTGGGCTGGCAGTTTCAATTAAACGTTTGCTCACTCCTCGGATGCAACCATTGTGATCTATTGACCTGTGATCTATCAACCGACGAGTCAACCATCAGATCTGGTTATGATCACTTGTCGATGGAAATTTGAAGAAAAGTTTTGGGCTGATGAGATTGCCTGCCACAAACTCTTGCCTCTCCCTGAACGAACGTATCCAGCGAACAGCCATGGAACCATCATGTTAGATTACATTTAGATTTCTGCTCCTGAAATCTTCTCAAAAAAAATTCGTGGTTTTCCTACTGGAACACTGCGTTCATATGACAAATAAGTGCCTTACAATTAACACTTGATATTCATTGATACATTTCCTCGCATTCAAATCATCCTCCTAATTCCATATATTGTTTATTTCATTGCCTTCATACGGTTACGATCAATAAAACAATTTTCACGAGCTGTACAGTCTTTTGCAATTTTGTTCAAGCATTACAGAACTTCGGAAGTTTTCAGTGCAGTGAACTATTACGTTCCAAACGAAGCGAGTGACAAAATGTCATCTAATCGAGTTGATCAGCGGAGTGGTCATTTCCTGTGTTTATCGTTTATCCAACTTATCAATAATGACCTGAAAACACGTATCAGTCAAGTTCTACCATTGTAAGATGCAAACGAATGTGTACAAAAACTGTGGTGCTGAAGGAGGCAAACTCTTCGAATCGGCAAAATTTGGGAAGTTCATAGTTTGTAAGATGTACAAGCCGTAATCAATTACAGCTTCGATATTACAGCATTTACAGTCTCAGTGCAGTGTGATCTCAGAGTAATTTCATAAAGGAATACACAACTTCGAACAAAATGGTTGAATATTTTCACAATTTATTGAAAACTTCAAATGTCTGAAGTTGAACGTCTCACTGTACGATTTGTATTGATGGCACAAAATTTTTGCTTCAAACCGACTAATTGAATCGACAGAATTGTATCTGTGATTCATAGCTGAACTATTCATTATAATCCAATTCATCTTTCGCATTAACTGCTCATGATAACACGCAACTGTTGCTCTTTTGTTCGTAGATGAAACGATTATTGCATCTGAAAAAAAAAGAATATTTCCTATGAAAAAATTGGCCTTAAATAAAATTTCACAGTCACGTAGTCTTGTGAAAATCATTGGATTATGTTTTTTCGGTTCAACCACCTTTTTTACGTAGTTATAGCATCAGTCATACACTGACTAGACATTTTCGAAGGTGATTCCGTTCATATAAATGCTAAGAGCTGCCTGCATCTCACGAAACAGTTCCAATGGGATGTGGAGAGTTGGTGCTTGGAAAGTTGAATATTCGAAAAAATACGTCATTTTTCTAGGATAATAAGAATCTTACTTGATGTCGCAATGGAAATTTTGGATGATCACTTCAATGATTATAAGTGTTATTGTTTGTTTTCGTCATTTCTGTCATACAGTAATGAACGTAGCGCAATATTTTATCCGTATTATTTATTTGCCGTTCTCTTATGTTATTCACCAGAAACTGTTTGCTCAGTAATTGTCTCGTCAGTGAGTTGATTTAGACTGACGTCAACAATTTATATAATACTCAATTTTAAGTATGAAGGATTACGTCTGATTTGTTGCTAGAAAAATATCGCTTGAGCTGATGAGTGGAACTCAAGATTGATCGATTTAAGTTCATTCACGCTCAATTTTAAGTCAGCAACATAAGGTTTCAAGAATTTAAAGATATTAATTCATAGGTTTCAGTTACGATAGGGAAGAAACGCATTGAAGAAGGGAAATGTGTTGAGCATTCGTTGAGTTCATTTCAGATTGCAAATTTGAACCGCAGAGCAGTAAATTCAGTTTTTATGCGAGTTGAACTTTTTGATGAGGCTACTTTGAAGTGTTTTGGTGAGATCAAATTGAAAATCATCAGAAGATATCGCTCGTGCAAAACATCAGGAAAATTGTTACCTTTCACTCTCTCTCCTACTTAAAATTCACCCATCGCAACACAGTGGCTACTCTGAATCATGAGCATGCATGGTTGAGATAATTTAAGTTTATCGCTCGCTGACTTGCTTCGGAGAAGTATCTCGCACTGTTTTCAGAGTAAATTCCTTCTTGAATAGGTTGAGACATACCTCTCGATCCTAGTTCATACAACTAAAGCTTACCTTGAGTAATGTGCCGTTGTAATCCAGACTAAGTTCAATGCTTCTCTGCAAATCACGCGAATGAAAGGGATGCGACGAGGGTTTCTAAGCATTGAAGCATCAGTTTGCTAAGTGACATTCGTCGCCACCAGTTTACAGTGATTGTGATCAGTTTTAAAATTCAGGACAAATGAGTGAACGTTGTTTGGCTGCATCCTTGATGTATGTAATAATTTGTTGAAGTACATCATTAACGGCTGAGTAAACAACCGTGATTTTTGACGCATTCCGCATGAATCTTTCTTTCAGGAGTAAGCTGAACTTTCATTCAGTAATCTATCTGTCATTACTGGTTAGTGTCATAGCAAAATCACTAGCCGATGCAAAACATTTGTTTGCTATCTCCTTATGGCATTTGGAAGGTGACTGATTGATGCATAAGAATTTTCAAATAGGAAGTCGCAAGCAACACAACAAGATGTTTGAACAGTCAGTTGT